TGTTAGACGCTCTTTGTTCAAGTCCCTTGGCACCCCAAGTTGTGGGGGCAATACTGTTGTCGAGAAAAGTGTCGACGGTATCTTCTTCTCCACCATCTCACGCATGCCACGTCCCTTCTCCACGATCTCATGCACGCCATGTCCATTTCTTGTGCTTGTTGTGCCACGCCTCCTCCAACCAGATACAAGTTCCATCTTGCATTGATAGTCGTGGTGGACAAGGAGAACCACAGCCAGATTGCGATGCAAGCTCTGCTGTCAGACGAGCGGTCGGAATCCTTCGAGTTCGTCTTCGAGTCGTTCAAGCAGCTCTGCGAAGGAGGAACCCCGGAGGTAAAACAAAGTATGACAAGGCAATACAGTATGCACTCGCCCATAAATGGCGCCAGTCAATGTTAGAATAAAGGAACTGAACGCGATTTAGTTGAACACGACATGATCATGCGGTGAACTTCCTCCGGTCTACTGTGCTCGAATGTTGAATAAGGTGGTCTTCACTGACTGTGACGCAGCCGCGATGTTGGCAATCGCGAAGGTCTATCCATCGGCCCTGAACAAGTTGTGCATCTGGCACACCATGGGGAACATCCGGGAGCATGGGGGGGTCTTGAGAAGGGTGTCCTGGGTCAGGTTCTTCAACTTTTCAAGGCAGCGGCGTACGCGCAAACGGAGGAGGTGAGCCATCTTGGTTGGACATTGAATCATTTTTTTCGTGGGTGATGTTCCGCACGGATCTTCCACTTGCAGGTGTAGGCCGTGTTGTCCAACGCTTGAGAGAGCTGCGATCGTAGAAGCGCGGGAATCGTCGCCGCCGCGTGCGGCTACACCCAACGGCCCGCTCTCCTTGTTTTGTCTATTTCATACGAAAGGTCCTTGGCACCTTCTTTCTCCCGGTCCATTTTCTTTCATCCCGTCGCGTGCTCCATTACTTGTCACTCTCGCAGTATTTCCTGCAATGTAAAGGGGCGCTCCTCGACCTCTTGCCCCCGGAGAGCAAGATGTACGAGTACATGGAGAAGAACATCTTCGGCACAGGGTAAGCACCGACTAGAATGACAGCCGATGCTAAGTAGGCCACGGACGCGTGACGTCTTGCTCCTCCTCCGTCGACGATGCCTTTCTCCTGTTTATTCTGTTTGAAGGTTCCGTCAGTTGGTGACGTCGTCCGTCTCGTGCCCACTAAGTTTGAGCCGTCCCGTAACGTGTGACAGGCGGGCTGGCAAATGGGCGTCGTACGTCCACCCTGGGCTGCACACTCTCGGCATTGCCTCCACGCAGCGTGTTGAGTCGATGAATGCTGCGGTGAAGAAGCTGGTGACCAGGAAGGGCGACATGGTCGACCTCGGCCGAGCGCTCCTAGGCAAGGTTCAGGATGACATCAACAGGACCCAAAGGTGGGCGTCCGGTTGTGACATTTGCGTGTACATATTTTGCGACACCAGCTGAGGCAACCCATGGTCCAGTGACCTCGACGCATTGCGTGGTTGAGTTCTGGCAACCTGTTCAGAAGGAAGGTGGTAGCATTTGAAGGTGGTAGCATTTGAATTTTTGTGCGTGTCTCGTAGGTCGCCTCTCGACAACAAAGAGCAATTGACCAACCACGCGGAAGCACGCCCGTTGCATGTGGATGAGGTCAACTCAACGTTCGCGAGGTGGTATGTCGTCGGTAGTGCGTATGCACGACGGACTCGAGGCTTCCCAGGCGGCCCACACCAGAGATCCTTTGCAATGACGGGGACAAAACCCAACCAGAGTAACAATACATTAATAGTCGCCGGCATTTCTACATCATGTTGTGTGGTGGCGCGTTTGGTTGACAAGTTTAGTGCTCTGCTCGTTGTGCCCCGTGCTTGCTAGACGAAACCTGGGAGGAACGGTCGCCCGAGTGGCTGTGCAGGGACACTCGTATGTGGAAAGCTTCAGGACCAAGCACCTGCGAACGTTCAACTTCGTCCTGAACGCAGTGAAGTACGAGCAGTGCAGCCAGCACGCCACGGAGGTTAGTTGTGGCGGCCTTCGCTTGCGGCGATGGACGGACCCAGATTTTTTCTCCCCCATTACACCTAACCGTACCCCCCTCAGATGCGGTGCCTGACCAAGGAAAGTCACAGCGACGCGGCCATGAGTTGTGTCTTTTCCCCCCATTTCCTTCACTCGCCAACCCGACTTCTGCGTGCCCGCTTGTATAGCACAAGGTTATGTAAGGGAGTTGTACTTGCCTTCGAGTTGTGGAAGGCGATCAGTCTTTGTGGGCAGCACCAACGACGCTGCTGGTATTCATGTCAATGCCGAACCTGACTTCCCTCCCGAACCCCCCCCCCCCCCTGTCGCACACCGCCCTTACCCATGGGCATGCCGTGTTGGCAGGACACTGAAGCACAGATCCTCGGGGCTCTCAGTTACGAGGCGATACCTGTCGTGCGTGACGAAGAGGCGGCGCGGAGACTGTTCGAGGAGTTGGTGGCAGACCCGACGAAGGCGAACCTCACGTACGACACCGGCTCCGGAGAGTTGGTGGACCCTTCAATACCGACGTCCGAAGCCGCTGGTGTCTCCATGGTGTCCCGCACATCCGTGCCTCACTTCGCGGAGTTACTTCGTGACCAGAACGTCCACACGGTGGTGCGCATCACACCGATGTCTACGGCGTCCGAGTGCGGTCACCTCGTCGCCCTTGGACCGGACGGCTTCTTCCTCTGCACGTGCCTGCGGCAGCTCGTCTACGGGCTACTTTGCCCGCACGCCATCAAGGCCTTGTGGTACCAGCGTGCCTCCCAATTCAACGGAGCAACCATTTCACCAAGGTGGCGTGACAGTGAGACGCCATGGACGATGGCAGCGCTGGCCGCTAAGCCTGCCAAGCTATCGACCGGAGCTGCGGGGCTGACGGGACCTGCGGGGCCTACCGGACAGATGCCGCCCGTCGACACCAGTCCGATCGTGTCGTCCCACTCCGGACCCAACTTGTCGGCCTACGCGTACGCCAACGGCGTCGCCGTAGGGAAGGAGCTGGGTGGTATGTTCAAAGAGGTCCCGTCTGTGGCGAGCATCCAACGCTTGATGGAGTCCATGAAGCTTCACGCCAAGCAACAAATCGAGGTGGAGAAGCGGTCGTTACGAGACGAGTCAACGAGTCGGGTGTTCACGGGAACTCTCCCCCGGCCCACCCCTGCCCTGCCGCAGGGAGACGCCGGGGACCCTGGTCGGGGGGGGCGCGGCTGGGGGGGAAAGGGGTCTACCAGAAGAGGACGGGCAGGGGAAAAGGGTGACCCTGGAAGCAGCAGCCAGGGAAGCGGTGGCGGTGGAAACGGCGGCCGGCGAAGCGGTGGCAGGGGCGGAGGGACAGGCCACGGGCGCGCAGGGGGGGGCGTAAACTCTGCTGGTTTCGCTACGGGTTCGCCGAGCGGTACCACGGGGGTTCGCCGAGCGTCCCACCCTCCGGCAGGATCGGACACCACCAGCGCCGCGCCTATCGGCTTCCAGGCGGCACCCGTCAACGGGGCGCACACGTCCGAGGGCTTGGCGTTGCCGTTTCGTGCCCTGGACAACGTGGACGTTTCTCGTCGCGGGGGGGGGCAGGCTTCGCCACCGTTCCAGACGACCGCCCATCTTGTTCAGTTGGGGCGACTGCAACCACCGCCCCGTAAGAAGCAAACGGGGCCGAGCAAACGACACAAAAGTAGTAGTGCGCCGTAGTGGAGGAGACCGTTTACCTGTAGGACACGTCAGGAAAATGTAAAGCGTGTTGCCGATGCCTTACTCGGCGTTGCATTCGCTTTGTTACCGTTGGCGCGTGTTGGTTTGCGCGCGCGTGTGGACGTGTGTTGCGTGTGTTGGGGGGTCTGCCAACAGCATCTGTTGTGTCGGATTGGTATTATTTCCTTCGGTAGCCGGCCCGCCGCAGCAAGGAGAAGGGGGATTCGCTTGGAAAACCATTGCCGGTTGGCAGGGGTGGAGGGGCAAGAGTCTCTCGACCCCGCGGAGTCTTCGTTCTTCCCCGTGTCCGATATGTTTTGAGTTTTTTTTTGCGCGTTGGATGAGAGTACCGCTGGTCCCTTTATCATGACCACTCATTGGAATTAAGTTGCAGCCTTGATTCGGCGTCGTGATGGTGTATCTTCTTTGCCCGTTGACATTTTATGCGGTTTCCCTAGAGCTCTCCGGTTTTGAAAGTACTCGCGTGTTCATGTTGGCAGTTGTCATGATGCTCCAAGAATCATATGATACAAACCAACTTTTCTTCTCTACGTCGACCGTCCGCACAACACGGAGGCAGCAGCTGCACGGACCACCACAAAAACCGCGACCATTTGGGATGACATCCGCGCCGCACCACCACGCTCTCCCCCTAAGACACGTCCTCGACTACCGTATACGACACAAGATGACACCCCCTGGACCGATTTTCAAAGCTCGACTACGCCACGACGAAGAAGATGCATAAACGAAACGATACACTTTCGGAGAGCTCTCGACCAGACAGCTTCAACGCCCCCGTTTTCGGCGCTGCGACTCTTTCTGCTGTTGATAACTCGAGCTTTCAAAATCGGTCGAGGGGGTGTGTTATCTTGTGTCGTATACGGTACACTAGCACTGGCAAATCAATGTACCTCGATTACACTGCAACATTTCCAAACTACGTCGTCCACATCATCCATGTCCATGTGGGTTGTCTGCTGCTGTTTTACGTGCGCGGCTACTGCTGCCATAGGTCTCAAGCGGATGCAGCCGTTGTTGCTGCGGCGGTGTGACCCGTTCAATTCAAATGAGGCGTTGTAGGGTGTGGTTCTGGGAGGCGTTTTCCAGCTGGAGAACCTTTTTATCATGTACGCCCCAGGCCATTTGGATTGATCCTTCCAAGCGTCTCCCCATTTCCCGGAGTCCGACAGTGACCCATCCTTCGTCAGCCTCGGCATCCCTTTCCTGAGCGGATGCACAACCTTCGCCACCGCCTCCCTAACCGCTTTATCCGTGAGCTCCGTGTGCCGCTGTGTTCGGGGCGACAACACCCGTGGAGCATCGGCACTCTCCTTCGTGGGGCAGGACTGCCCGTTGAAAAACAAGTCCGATAGCCTCTTTAGCTGAACCTCTGCCCCTCCTGGGCGAGGAAAAGTGGCGACCAAGGGAACCTGGTCAATGTCAGCACCCGCACCGCTCGTCCTGCTTGCGGAACGTGAGCCGGGTTCAGCCGCGGAAGACGCACCCGCTGCTGCCCCTGCAGTCAGCGGCCGCGCTACCCGGCCTCCGCTCGTGCTTTCCATGATTTCAGGCCAGTGCGCTGCGCAATACTGCTCGAAGTGCTTATGATCGTACGTACGGCTTGCCCTCAATTGGCCTGCTGCATGCCACGCTCCACTGTAGCCTCTGTCACTCCCGTCTGTCCCCTCCGTGCACCCGCTGCGTTCGGCGTACGCGCACTTGAAACAAACCTCTGCGGGCTTCAAGGCATACAAGGCGGCGTACCCTTTTCTCTGCCTCGGTTTTCGCGGTCCGAGGAGCCGTCTTCGGCCATGAGCACCAGGAGCATTGCCATTGGTCGCGGCGAGAGGGATAGGTGGATCTGCCATGTTCGTTACACTCCTGGCGTGCTCGGTCTGATCATAACCGTGGTCGTTTGTGTCGTATGTGTCCTGGTGCTGATCGCTGTCTTGGCCCCCATTTGAAAAAGTGCGGTGGAAAAAAGTGTTCCACGCGGCGGAACACGTGGTGGAACAGCAGGTTTTTGGTCAAACTTCACTTGGTTTTATTGTCACGCCCCCAGCTATAATTTTAGCCCAAATCCCCCGCCTATGATTGGCTGGCCGACGGGGGCTTGGTTCACCTAAGCTTCAAACCGCACCCGTGATCCGTGGCATCCTCTACGTACGGGCTGCAGCAGTGCGCTACAAAGCCCGTGATCCGTGGCATCCTCTACGTACTGGCCTGCAGCAGTGCGCTCAAAAGGGTGGTCATGATGTATGCGACCGCACACCACACGCATACCTTATCACGCCGCAGCATGCTGCTAACCTTCGGTTCGGCTCCGCTCATGATGCCACGAAGGACGGGATGGGCCTCGAAGGTATGTGGGATCCTCCGCACGAGCTTGTGAGGAAGACACCGAGCATGCGATCTCCACGACGTCTTGCGCCAGGAGCCTCCGCGCACCACTTGCGCGAAAGTGAAGGGAGCACTGCGAAAGAAAAAGTAAGGGGGGAATCGGTTTGCGCGGGCGTGCACGAGGCCCCCAGTTGCACCGCATTGCACCGCAACGGCAGCAGACAGGCCCCGCGCTGCGCGGGAGGAAGCTCCCGCGGCGTATACGTCTTCTGACTGTTGGAGAGGGACGCACTTCCCCGGGCTCATCTTGGGTGCCTGTTGCTGGACTGCCATTGTCGGGTGAGGCGTGTTCGCTGCACTTTGGTAAGCAGCACTCCACGACTACGTTGTACCTGTACAATAGAGAGATGGACATGCTGTAGCGACCAGTAGCGGCGATACAGGGTTAGGAGTATCGCAAGCTGAACGTCGAACGCGACGTGAAACTTGATCTGTTTGAAACGTGCCTCGCGTGTTGCACGTTGGCGGGTCTCGTCCCGCGGGAGTGCACCCCAACCAGCCTCACCGTCGCAGCTTTTGCGCTCGAGTTTCGTACACACCAGCCTGCACACCAGCCTGTAGATGCTTCTACATGTAATAACTGAAGAAGAAACTGGCGACGGTGCCGCAGGCGCCCGGCGTCAGTGCCTCCTCGCCGTACCTCGTAGTCCACAAATTGACTGACGCACACGCCCTCCACGTGCACGCTACCAACAGGTTGCCGTCGTCGACATGCACAACACTCGGAGGGTGTCTGATCAGCTTAACCCTGTCTAGCTCAACACATTCGACACGCACGCCACGCACGTTTTGTTGGCCCAAACCTGGCCAAACAATCCAACATTCGCTTCGCACATGCCCGTCGTCAACTTCGCCTCTGTTGGCACGGCGCAGACGGTGTTGTGCCCCCCGGACTTGATCCAGACATGAGTTTTTTCAACCTGGCGGATATCCTTCTTCAGGAGGGTGGTTTGTTTCATGGCACGCCCACTCTAGACATATTGGTTCTGGTCGTTGCGTGTCAGGTGTCAGCAGCAATCCAATCTACGTCGAGAGACGTCAATAACAACCCGACGAGCCTGACCATGAGTAGGGCAGCAGCAGCATCTTTCCGGGCACAGTCGCAGTACCAGGCCCTAGTCGACTTGTGTGACAATGGGGGGGGCGTAGGGAACGTATTCGCGGCGTATCAGAGATCTCTTCCCAACGGTTCACAAGCTGCTGCAGGATTTGTAGCGAGATCGGTGCAGTATGCTGGAGTGTTCTGCCAGAATGAGTCTTGCGACGACGTAGCCATGACAGTGACATTTCTCCAATCAGCGTTTTATGGGGTGGACGAGTGCTACCCTACGCGGCACTATGTCAAGACTTGTCGAGAGTGCGGGTCCAGTTACTACCTGAACAAACGCCGTCAGAGTGGTCCGGATGGCACAACCTGGCACGTTTTCTACGCCTGGGACCAAGGCACCCCCGAAGAAATCAGCAACAAGTCCGGGAAGTGCGTTCTGTCCGTGGCGTTCCTGACGCAAGTCGCTCTTACTCTGTCGAGGATGAGGTGGGTTCAGAAAGTGTCCCCGATATTGACACAAGGGGTACATCCAGACGGGACGCTGTTTTGTCATTGGACCTCGACTTTCGCCCACCGCAAGTTGCGTTTTTTGTTCGGCATAACTTTTGTCCCACTGGTGCAGCTATCCCCCTTCGCTCGCAAACTCGTCCCTTGCCTCTGCCTGCAAGCTCTTATTTCTATCGTTGACACTGCGTTGACGTCCGCTGACACTGTCCCCTCGTACCCCCTCGTTTCTCGTATCCCCTCGTTTTGTCGCCGACCTCATGTCAAACAACCCCCCCAACCAGAGTCGGCTTCACTGCCATCTGCAACGTCTACAACGATACAGTCTTGCGTGATCGAGGGCACGGATCGCCGCCGCTGGCGGTTGACACACTCCTGGAGTGTTGGTCGCTCCTGGCGACTCTGAAAATGGCGCAAGGCGTAGGTGCGTATCTGCATTGCATTGTCGCGGGCGTGGCCATCACAACACTGCTGGGATACGCATGCCAGTACCCGTCTCGACTGTTTCACAGCGTATATCACTCGCTGTGTTGGCGGATAGACGGTGGTGCCGTGTTGGTGTACCTTGTTGGCATCCGAATGAAACGGGACCACCAAATGTGGCTAGTTTTGGTTGTCCATCGCACTCGAAGCTGGTTTCCCTTTGCTTCGCCATCGTTGGATGATGCTCATTGCACACTATTCCCTGTTTTCCGTATTGCTGCAGCTTGACTGCGCTCCCCTGACTTCCTTGTGCGATTTATTGCGACAAAGGTCCTTGGCTAACCTTCCCGCCGGAAGGGTTGACCCTTGTCGTGGGGAACCCACGGTTGGTATGGGTCCGAGACATCGACGGGGAACAAAGCGGGGCAAATCATTGGAAGGGTCTCCGTGAGTTGATGGCGGATCAAAACGAGGGTTTCTGGGAGAACGTGGCTTGGCACAGGCACAGCTGCGACCTCTGCCGCCAAACAATCGAGGTCGACGGCCAGCTGTGTTCCATTAAAGCGGCTGTGATCGACGGCATCACCAACACCCGGGGGGGCTGCGGTGCGGTGCATGAGTGCCCCCATGATCTGCCCAACCTCAGTGGGGCCAGGTGAGGAGTACGAAATCGGTTACGTCGCCGATTTGCGAGTGTACTTAACGCGCTTCGGCGGTAAGCAGTTTATCTTTTGGCGGTTGCAGCAAGTCCAACACTAGGCTAAGTAAGTTGTTAAACTGTATCGTTTCATACGTTTCGTGTTATCTGTGTTCCCTTATGCCACTCTCCTTGAACGGTGTGTACCCTGTTATTCGCACGTCTGACGTGTAGGCGTGCATGCATGCCTCGAACGCCGTCTCTTATGTCGACTACTACAGCCTGCACTTCCCAGCACTTGCATCCTGCGAATTAAGCCCCCATCCTTGCCGTCGCAACCGACACTGCCGCCCCCGCCTGTTGTCTAACAAACCCAAGGTTTTGCGAGCACCACGCTCCTATCTACGAACATCGCTGCGCCGTTACCTCCCCCGAGTGCCTCAACGACCATGAGGATGGGAGCTTGGCCTGCGCAGAACACGCTGACATGGAAAGGCGGTCGAAAGTTTTCAACAACTTCGGAGACTACCGGTG